GTCTTTCACAATTTTTGTGTCAATTTGCCGTGCATGAACTCTGCCAATAGTGTATTTATAACTCTAGTATTGCTGAGAATAGTATCACGTAACCTTGAGATGAGATCCATGTGAGTCTTGTTCTAGAAATGCCCCCATGAGATGATTCCCCATTTGCAATTACTAGTGGAGAACTTTCTGTTAACTCATTTGAATCCATGTCAATTTTTATGCAATATGTTGAATGTGCTTTTCAGAAGTCCCATGTTGAGTAGCAGAAGAGTGACTTTAGGGGAAATGGCCATTTGGCAAGACCTGTTTTCTGCAAAGCTGTGTTTATTGCATTTGAAGTTTACAGCATCCATGGATTCTTTATGGAGTATCTCCTATCGGAGCTTTTCAGCGGTCCTTTTTTGTCCTGAAAGATTAGTTTGTAATGTTGCTACAAATGTTCTGATGATTGATCATTTTCTCACCTTTTAAGGTTGGAGTGTGTTAGCTTTTAGCTAATTGCTTTGAAAGCATTCTTGCGATAAGGCTCTTTCCATGTTTGTTTTCTTTTGGTTTTTGATTTTAATTAGGATGAAAGCTGCATTTTAAAATGAAATTTGTGATCCCCAGGTTTGTTCATCTTTTGTTTGGCATTTAAGAAATCATCATTTGTAATATAATTAATACTTCTTGATGTTGTTAGAGTAATCACAGTTACTCTAACAGACTGCCTACTGTTGTTCAGAATGTCAGTCACTGATCCTGTTTCAACTTCTCTTGTTCTGTTGTATACTACGTTGGCTGCTTCTAAGTGTGTGGCACATTTTTTTGGCTTTGCTTTGGTGTATGTGTACAGCATGATAACTTACTAAGTTTCTATATAAAAATCTTGTGCTTTTTCTGTGAGGCTTAGGGATGATAAACTAGTGCAGTGTCATGTGAATTGCTTTAATTTTTGGTGTACTACTTGAAAGGAGCTTGATTCCCTAATGGAGAGTGATCTGCATGAGATATTTTTCTTTTTTTTTTTTTAAAAAAAGGTATAAATAGTCATCAGGTGAATATTTAAATAACAGAAAGCTACCTGATGTAACACATTGAGCCATTATAACAGATATTTTTATACTTTAAGAATTAATGCGTTGCCCCCTGCTCTCCCCCAGCAGTCTTGTTTTGAGTCTAATGCATATAACTATTAATAACTTGTGAGCTATAAAAACTCTAGACAAAAAATGATCCATCTGATATTTTTAATATGTCCTCTGAAATACAGGATGATCCCTTTAATGCCCTAATGTGCTTTATCAGAATGAGTTTTAAATAATGCCTTAAAACCAGGACTTTTGATGACTAATGTGTGGCTGTGTGTTCGTGGTTGCTGATACAGATCTGGATCAATTGCTAGTGAAATTTTAATCTGAATTAGTGGACTCTCGCCCTGCAGTTGCTTTAGGTGGAACATTGAGTAGAGTATTGAGTCCAAGGTGTCCTATATGTGTGTGTTGCTTTCTATTCTTTACTGCACTTCCCATTTGATTGCCTTGTAAATTGTATGACAGTCTGGGTTCTGTTTCAAGGCAGAAATTTGCTTTCTTACTTACTATGGACAGTATACAGTGAAATGAGAATATTAATAAAATTGCTTCCAGGTGGTTACATTGTTAGATGTTTTCTTTGGTTACATGTGAAATTTTGCCTTACTGCTTTGTGTGTTGCCTTTCACTGTGACATTGATGGTTGGTACAAATGCAGAAAGACAATAGTGGAAGAAAAATCATGGAGTAGTTGAGGTTGGAAGGGACCTCTGGAGGTCATCTGGTCCCAAGCCCCTGCTCAAGCAGTGCCAACTGGAGCCATTTGCCCAGGACTGTGTCCAGACAGCTTTAGAATATTTCTGAGGATATTCCCCGCAACCGCAATGGGCAGCCTGTGCCAGTACTCCTCCCAGATGCAGAACTTTGCACTCCTCCTTGTGGAACTTCATGAAGTTCCTGTCAGCACATTTCTCCAGGCTGTTGAGGTCCCTCTGGATGGCAACATGGCCCTCAGCTGTATACCCTGTGTTTGTGTCATAAACAAACTTCGTGAGAGTACGCTCTGCCTACCATTCAGGTCACTAATGAAGATACTAAACAGGACTGGACCCAATATTGACCCCTGGAGTACACCACTGGTCACTGACATCACCCTTTGGGCGTGGTCAGTCAGTGAGCTTTTGATCCACCTCACTTTGCTTGACCAGCCTGTGCATCAACAGCTTGTCTATGAAGATCTTATGGGATACAGTGTAAAAGACCATACTGAAGTCCTGGTAGGCAGTGTCCACTGCTCTTTCCTTATCTGCCGGGTCAGTTGTTTCATCATAGAAGGTTTTCAAGTTGGTGAAGCATGATTTCCCCTTGATGAAGCCATGCTGACTGTTCCTGATGATTTTCTTATTGTTCATGTACCTGGAGAATAGGTTCCAGGATTAGCTGCTCCATCACCTTCCCAGGGATCCAGTTGAAGCTGATCAGCCTGTAGTTCCCTGAGTCCTTGAAGATAGAAGTGACATTTGCTTTCCTGCAGTCATCAGGCACTTCTCCCACTCAACATGATCAGCCATTTCCTTTCATCCTTTCACTTGCGACATGTCTTATTGTTCATGTACCTGGAGAATAGGTTCCAGGATTAGCTGCTCCATCACCTTCCCAGGGATCCAGTTGAAGCTGATCAGCCTGTAGTTCCCTGAGTCCTTGAAGATAGAAGTGACATTTGCTTTCCTGCAGTCATCAGGCACTTCTCCCACTCAACATGATCAGCCATTTCCTTTCATCCTTTCACTTGCGACATGTCAGAAGAGATTGACCCCCACCTGGCTACAACCTCAAATAGTTGTCAGGCACTTCTCCCACTCAACATGATCAGCCATTTCCTTTCATCCTTTCACTTGCGACATGTCAGAAGAGATTGACCCCCACCTGGCTACAACCTCCTTTCAAATAGTTGTAGAAAGCAATGAGGGCCTCCCTGAGCCTGCTCTTCTATAGATCAAACAACTCCAGCTCCCTTAGCTGCTCCTCATAAGACATGTATTTTAGACCCTTCACCAGCTTTGTTGCTCTTCTTTGGACATGCTCCAGCACCTCTATGTCCTTTTTGATGTGAGTGGCCCAAAACCGAGCACAGCATTCGAGGTGCAGCCTCACCAGGGCCAAGTACAGCATGGCAATGACTACCCTAGTACTGCTGGCCACACTATTCTTGATACAAGCCAAGATGCCATTGGCCTTCTTGGCCACCTGGGCACACTGCTAGCAAGATCACTGTCAGCCAGCACTCCCAAGTCCCTTTCTGCTGAGCAGCTCTCAAGCCACTCTTCCCCCAGCCTGTAGCGCTGTGACCCAAGTGCAGGACCCGACACTTTGCCTTATTTGAACCTCATACAGTTGCCTTCAGACACATGACATAACAGCGTAGGTAAGGTCTGTGGAAACCTACGTCAAGCTCAGGAACATGAGTATTAGAGCACCAATGACAGCTGAAAAAGAGGATTGCTGTGGAAGTCATCAAACTCCAGCCTTTGGTATTCTGCTGTCAGTCTTCCCCCACCACACCAGCAGTATATCTCTGTTATGTTTCTGGCCTGTGTGGATTATCTTGAATGCTTTGTTGCTGTTGCTGCTGGTTGATGTAACATGTGAACTGTGCTCTCTTTCACAGGTCTTTGCCAACAAACCTGCGCCAGCAGATGAGCTTTATTTTTAGGGCTAAAGTAATATATTTGATTTTTCCTGATGCGTTTAGCTTCTGACGTAATTAATTGGCTGCTCAAGCATCTGCTGCTACCTAAGCAGCTGTTGAATGATAGTGGAATAAACTGATCAGATCTGTACTCCCTGCAGCTATGATAGTGCTGGATACCCAAGTAGCTGGGGCAAAGACTGCACAGAAAGGAAGAAATGTTTCGTCATGTTTATGTATTTGAGTAGAGCTGGATGGTGAGTTGACAAGCAGGTCAGCCAGGAAGAGGAGGTCTTAGATTGAGGTAGACTACAAGAATAACTTGATAAAAAAGTGACAAGGTTAGATCTTCCTGTTAGCAAGAGCAGCTCTTGAATACTTAAGCCAAGGTGGCAGCAGGCTTTACCTGGTCGTTTTTTTAAAATCGTGTCTTTTCATGATGCCTGCTTTTGTGACAAATGTCTTTTCTAGCTTTCTCTTTCAGAAAGGTCTTTTGTGTTTGTTCTAATTTTTCTCCTCCATGTCAGAAGGAGTAAGTTGTTCTTCAGTAATGGGAGGATGCAGGTACTTTTGCAGAAAATCTGTCTTATCAAGGTTTATGTCTGCATTATCTGGACCACAGTTATATTTCCCATAAAATTGAGAACACTTACATGTCCCTCTTGACTTATTTGAAAGTCTTAGTCTCAGTTCTGTACTGTATCAGGTTCCTAAGACTGCAACAGTAGCATGTTTGAGTTGGTTTTTCTAATATTCCTAGCAGTGACCTCCAGAGCAAGTCTCAACAATACCAGGACCTAGGCTGCAGAGTATGCTGCTGGCTGCAGAGTGTCCAATTTTAGTCCCTATGTGTGTAGTAAGTGACTTCTATCTATCTATTACCTGAAGCATATACAATCAATGTTATTTGGAAGCAGCCAGAAATAAATTCCCTAGGTTAGTTACATGGTTAACATGTAAGAAGTAACAAAAGTAGTGGTCTTTCTCATTAAGAAAGGTGGTATCATTCTTGGGAAGTTTGAAGATGATGATGAAAAACTAAGAGGCAGCAGCTAATGAAATGCTTTATGGGCTATCAGAAAGAGATGTAAGCCTGAGTCTCCACATGCTTTACTTTGGATTTGTGACTGAAACAGTGTTGGTGAACAGAGTATTTAGCTATTGCTGCGCAGTGCTTGCACAGCAAGGCTTTTCAGTTTCTCACTCTGTCTCCCTCAGAGAGTAGGCTGAAGGAAACAGGCAGATGGGAGGGAATACAGCTGGCACAGCTAACCTGTGACGGCCAAAGAAATACTCTGTACCAAGCAATGTCATACTCAGCAATAAAACCAGTGGGTTTTCGTTCCCTCAAAGTGGCTGTTCCTCGGGAACTGGCAGGGCATGTGTCTCCTGGTGGTGAGTTTGGTTGGGAGCTTTTTTGGGTTTTGTTTCTCATCACTTTTGCCCTTCTGATTGTTTCCCCCATCCTGCTGCAGGGAAGTGAGCATGTGACTGGATGGGGACTGTTAGCCAGATCAACCCACCACACCTGATATATGTGAATTAAGGTTATACTTAGGTCAATCTGCTGTTTTGCAGAGTTGAAAACTCAAGTGACTTTGGCTTTTGGTACCATGTTAAAAAGGAGAATATAGCACACATTCTTCCACAGGTTATCTCTGAAGTCAGTAGTTGCCAAACTGATTTATATTAAAAAATAACTGTATTTTAGTGCTGGAATAAGAAGATGTCAAAAAGAGGAGTTGTACTTATGGGGGGAAATAAACTTACATGGGGAAAAGAGAAGGGATGATACAATTTTGAAATGTGTTAAAATTTGAAGAATGTAATTCTTTGTTAATTAGGATTTTTTTGTCCTATTTGAAATGCAAAAATCCACATAGTTTTACTTTCAGGGAAGGCTTAAGTGTTGTAATGTTGTTTGAAGGTAAATAATTGTTCTTGGAGGAACAGATTAAATTATTTTTATGTTGATTCCTACAGGAGAAGGTTTCTTGAGTAGGTAACTTCATATATGAACTCAAGAATTGTACAGATTCCCTGAAATGTTTAGTAACAGGCACCCTAAAATCCCCCAATATTTGAATGGAAAGCTACAAATATAATTAAATAATTGGAACCTTGTATGTTACTTTACAGTGAATTGTGTTAATATTTTGAAGTTTTTCTGTGCAAATTTTCTGTAGTAACATCTGAATTTTATCTATTGTGTCTTGAATTCCAGTAAGATTCATTCTTGTGAGATTTCTTACCTCTGTCATCAGGCCAAGTTTGTAGGGTTTTTGTTTTGTTTTCTTTCTGTTTTAGTGGCCAGGGGGTGTTGAGACAATTTCAGGATCCTAGCAGCAGAGTAACTTTTACACACATGTAAACTCTTATTAACCAAAACAGTCATGCTGGCCAAGGATTTGAGAATTACATGCCATGTGTAGCACCTGACATGTTCAGAGCCTCTCTTGCAAGTGCTAATATTTCTTGTTTTAATAAGAATTTCTTTGAAAGCCAAGAGAACATCTCCATTCATTCTTTTACAAACCAAAAACATTATTGTAGGGCTTGCAAATATTATTCCTTGAAAGATTACATTGGTATCTCTGTAAGTGTCAGTAGTAGTGTTTGTTAATGTGGTAGAATTAATCACCCTATTTTCCTCTGGAAATGCCTCAGTCCTTTATACACAATTAGTTCTCTGCAGCTCTAGTCTCTGTGTTGCGCTATAAGAAGTTCTCAGTTGATCTGAAGCTACTTGCGTTATGCCACTGATGCTGGGCCAGCTGATGAACTTTCTTTAATCTTTTTATTTTTCTACTTTTTTCCCCTGGTATGTTTAGTTCTTTCCTCCAAGGAGTCGGAGCATTTTTTTTTTGTTACTGTGCTTACTAGTTACAGCGGGGCAAATATCCCCGGACAACTGGGTGCTTAACGTAGGTGAAGTGACAGATGATCCCTTTGGTTCTCTTTGCTTTCCAGAGTAAAAACTGTTCTGTAAAGGAAATTTGTTCTTCCTTCTGCAGTATTTTTTGATCTCTTTGAGTCACGGATAAACATTTGCTTACTCAGACATAAATGCAGCTTCATTTCTACCTTACTGCCTTCTGTTTAATACAAAGAAATGTCTTGGACATCAGATTTGGGGCTCTGGGTTCAAGGCTAAGACAGAGGAATATTCCATGCTCTTGTTGCTAGTGAGTCACTTAATTACTCAGAAGGTTGATTTACTCACCCTTGATGCCTATGATAAATATTTCACATGTAATTATCAACCATTAATACCTTGGGATTGGCAGTGATTTGTAGCAGTTGTAAAATGAAACAACTGTTGGGGGTGAATGAAATAGCAGTACATTTTTACTGAAAGTTGTGTTAACTAATGAGTAAAAATGGGGACCATTATATGGGACTAAAAGATTTTCTAGACATTTTTTGCCTTATATTTCATATATAGATGCGTATATGAGGGATATGTCTATGTATGCAAACCTTTTTATTGGTAAATTAAATTGTTTCTTGGTCCTGTTAGTTGCTTCTTGTGAGTTAAAGAGAAACAAAAGTCATGTAAAGTATCTATTGATGCTTTATAATTTCGGGGGTTTTATAGAGCCGTGGTTATGAATCCGTTTTATTCTTTTGTGTTGTTGCTGTTAGGTTTAATTCTTTGAGATCAAGATGTACAGAGCGAATGTTCACTAACCATGGATTCAGACATAGTAACAGGCATTGAATATGTTATGAATGTGTGTTAGAATAATTTGGAAGTGCCTTATTTCAATTCAAATTCAAAATTGCTCTTTTGTTTTATCAGCAAACACATATCTCTTTATGGTGCAAGCTCGTGGTATAATGTTGAGAGAAAATGTGAAAACAATAGGACACATGATCAGATTGTACACTAACAAAAATACTACACTGAATGGCACAGGTAAGATTATTTCTTAATTAGTAGGAAACATTTGTGATAGCTGTAACAAAAATAGCTTCGTTGAATTATTGTTTCTTTAGTGTAGGAAAATGCTTTTATAATCATGCTGCTAGGAATGTTACTTAGAGAGTTACAAATTGAGTGAATAACATAGGTTTTTACAAAAATCAATTCTTCTTTTTAAGATTATCCTGAAGGAAACAATTCAAGTGACTCTGTTGCTCAAACAACAATGTATCTTCCAGAGAACTTCACCTACTCTCCTTACCAGGCTTGTCCAGAGAAGCTGCCTTACATGAGTAAGTTTTAAACTGACCTGAATGCTTACCTTATAAATTGAATTGTACTTTAAACAGAATACATTTATTTTAATAAAAAATAGAATTGTAGGATCCAAATATATAGCAGAAAATAATGAATGAAATATGTCAGATAATGGACAATGATGCTTAACAGAAATTTGTCTGTAACTAGTGTGTTACTAAAGATTTTGACCTCTTTACTATTCATCTAATGTGTTTCAAATTTTATTTACAAGTAGTTTTGTTTTATATCAGTTAAATGCTAAATGTTTTTATTAATATGTAAGAATACTCTAACTTTATTAAAAGTGCCTGTTCAGAGTTGCATATTTTGAGGAAGAGTTAAAAATTTTCTTTTTGGAAATGGTATTCCTAATAAAAAGATTCATGAGTCAGAGACCAATTCTCAAATCTTTATCAACTTACCACAGTTACGTCAATATGCAGGAAACTGAGCAAGATGGTGTAGTGAAGTAAGGATTGAGGGAGGTAAGAAAGTGCCAAAGCCCATAGTGAGCAAACAGTACTTACACAACATGTGAAAAGTTGTGATCCTCAGGAAATTTTAAAACGAGACTTTCAAACCCTGATGTTTAAGATCCCAAGCTATTAAATAGGTTAGGTAACCCTAACTTTATTTGTCTTTAAGCCTAGAATCTAAACTTCTGATTACTCTTTGACAGTTGCAGAGCAGTGTCATACAGAAAGAAGAAACTGAATTGAGTACTTTGGCACCATTGCTGTTTTGGTTTGCAGGGCTTTCATAATATTTGTAATATCATAGCTGTCCAGAGTGTCAGTATCCCAGTGTATGTAGAAGGTCTTATAAGCAGGTGTTGCACAATGAAAGCTGTTACACCAGCTGAGATTGGAAGAGTTCCTTGATGTAATTCACTATCCGTAACCTGATTTAATAATGTGATGGAAAGCCTGTTGGTGTGACTCTTTTTGTCTTCTTTCTGTAGACGAAGTGTAACTTTGTTTGGGGATATTCTTAAAACTTATTGTTAAATCCTGTCAATTTTCGTATGAATCTCCCTTTTCTGCAGACTTGCCATTGTTCATATGCAGACAAAGTTCTGGGCATTGTTTGCTCTTCCCCAGCTTGTAGAGAAAGCAATCCTTAAAGAACATGAAGTGTTAGGTAGGAGACCTAACACCTGTTAAATACTGACCTGTTTCAAACTCCACAGAGAGAGACAAATCAGTTCTGGTGGTGACTGCTATACCCTGACCTTCACCACTGATTGTTTGCTATTATAAATAGTTCTGATATTTAAGCTTAAAAAAATTGCAGTCCCTTGCCTAAAACAAGACTCCCTTCTTAGAAACCACTAATGAGTTTTCAGCTTTTTTTCTCTGTTAGTAATTGTTGTTAAGTTATTAGAGTTGCTGTAGGAAGCAAAGGATGATTAAATATGTTTTGTGTGTTTTGCATTTGAAAGAATTCAGAATTTGAGTCAGTAATCCATGGAATTACTTCAGTTCTAGTAAATGTTTTGTGGACAAACAATATTTTTGAGTGAAGAACTAATGGTAGCATTTGTATAGATCTCTAAGATAATTACTTAAATTGGGCTGTCTCATTTGGTGTCAGAATGTACCAACTAGAGAAGAAGAATTAACAACTCTCTAAGTGTAAATATGTTACTAGAAGTGACTTTGTTAGTAACTGACAGTATCTGTTACACTCATTTTACTGACTGTATTTAAAATAAAACAAGTAAACTACTGATTTGTAAGAGAGAAAATTTGAAGTAGTTTCTCAAGTTGTGAGAGGCATTCCAGGATTCTAACCTCTTGTCTGTTTAGACTAACATCTGACTTAATCTCTAGGTTGTTATTCACCAGGAACAAGTAATTAAGTATTTAATATAGCAGTTCAGATCCATATTATACCAAACAATGTTGCTGTCAGCCAAACTGAATTCTGATCAGTTTTCTTCAAAGAGAAATAGGGGATTTTATTAGGATAATCTTGATTCTATTATAACTTATTTTTGAATGTCAACTGAGGAGTTTATCTGCTGAAGAATACAGAAACGAGTGCTTGTTACCTATGTTTCTTTTCAATGCTGCCAGATTCTAATCTTCATCTCTTACATTGTAAATATACAAACATGGAGCCAAAAGTGTAGATCAGTTGCTGTTTCTTATGAAACTTAATCACATAGAAAAGTGTCTTAAGCCAAGTGGTAATTAGCCACGGTGTGATTATATCTTTATTTCAGCTTCTTTTCTTCCAAAAACCGGGTTTGACTTTAAAAACCACGTGGATCTTCTTTTTTATAATATTTCACATATAAACAAATAAAACTAAGTTATTCAAATACTAAATATTTCAGGTACTTTGGGAAAGTGATGAAAGGTTCAGAAAATATCAAATCTGGATAATCAGAGAAATAAGAATTATGATTATGCTGATTGAAAAATGCATGTGAATTAGTATTTTTAGTGGGAGTTTCAAGGGATGTGGCAGTTGTAATTCTGTCAGATTAGTTCAAAACTGTATTGGCTTCTACTACCTGTTCTACTTGTGTATTAGTCTGCTCTCCAGGAGTGGAGAGATGAGTCAGGTTAGAAGGTGCTAAGGTACCTTAGTAGGTCAGCCTACTTATGTTATCTTAGATCTTTGATGCAGATTCTTTAGAATTGCCATAGTAGGGATGCATTCTGCTCCACCATCCTTGCTATCAACTGTGTAATTCTATCAGGATTTCTCTATAGGTCTCCTTGTTGCTGCTCTCTTTTTAACTGTCGTTTGAGGGTTTTTGCTAGTAATTGCTTTGTACTCAATCTGTCCTGTTTAATTTAATAGAGATATCATAACTTTAGCAGAAAATAATTCACAGGATAAGTTCCTGTTTAACAAAGATATATGTTTCACCTTTTGGTTTTAATGTATTTTTTTTAAATAATCATCTGTGTATTTAAGTATAATCTAAATAAAGCTTCTCTGGAGATCATTTAACGCAATGAAGTGTTGCAGGTAATCCTGAGATAGCCAGGGAAGAAACATTCTTGAATCCTGTATATTTTGACATGCTTAATAATCTAAGGTTATTATGGAAGTCAAATTCTCTTCTTTATATTAACTTGCCAAATTTATATCATAAGAGGAGTATGGTAAAATCATACACTGTCCCAAGTACATATGCTCCTAAAATAAGAAGACCTAGTGCCTTTTGTGTGTGACTCAGTCTTTCAGGTTATAACCCACGGGTTCAGCACTGCTGTTGTAATTCATAAGCAAGACAGCTCTACTTCAAGGTAGATGCAGTACAAGAGTCTGTCTGTCTCTTCCTGATTATTTCAACCTTTCTAGACTGTGTAGTTTCTAAAGCTCATGTCATTTGTGATCTTTTTTTTGTACTAGAGACTGTCTCTAATTTGATTTATTTTTGAAGCATCATAACAAATGAGTAATTACCTAGTAATTACCTTCCCTGTCTTTCATATAAAAGCAGTTAATGTATTCCAGGATTAGATTTTCCATTTTTGTGCAATTACTTGAGAGGCTTTTGTCTCATATTAATAGGCAATCCATTATAAACTGTAAAAATATCTTTCTGCATACTGCAGCATAGCCAGATATTTCCTGTTTTGCCTGTGTATGCTTCATTTCTCCTTCAGTAACAATCCATACTTTTTTTTCTTCTTACTAATTTCACTCTATTGATTTATGTATGTATCTGATTTGTTAAAATAATTCCATTTTCTGTTTCTGTTCTTCAAAATGCTTTCTGCTTCTTCAGCTTTCTTTTTTTGCAGGCTGTATAAATATGTTTTATTGCAGCATGCTAGACACTAATGGAAATAGTGAATACTAAGCCCTGATATTACAGAGATGCCTTTTCCTGCCCCCACCAATGGCAGGGAAAAATGCTGATTTCTCTTCACCCATCTCCTGTGTACACTTGGTAGTACCAATACTTCAGGTTTTGCTATAGCTATTTTTTAAACAGTGTGGAGGGAATTTCGTCATGTCCCATGAAGTTAGAAGCACCTGCCTTATCTAAATACTGTTTTACCATTTGGTGTTTTTTCCTAATTTAAACTCCGTAAGCATCTGAACACATCTAAACTTGTATCGGGAGACTAAGGCACCTGAGTCACATCATATCATGTGTCATTTACTCCCTTTTCTAACCTTTATCTTTATTTTCCTGTTAGATTCTGCAAATAATCTGAAAGGCTCTTATAGCTTCTGTCTCTTGGTGTAGTGGAAATTGCTTTAGTGATTTTTATTTTTTTAAAATTAATTTTGTACATGTTTATGTACTGATCCTTTGTTGATTGACTTTAATTCTACATTTTGTAAGGTTTTTTTTTCAGGTTATTGAAGAGTTTCAAACACAATCATAGTGATCATATAAGGGTTTTTTTATTTCAAATTATTTCTAATTTTTAATTTAGATCTCTGTAGGATTAGCTTGTTCTGGTGTATATTTATGCAGTCTTTTTCTACTGCCTGGTTTCCTTTTTCTTCTAAAATAGTTAAGTGTCATTTTCTTTAAATCTGCTCTTGAAAGACCTCCATATTGCACTGTTCTTGATACTTTTTTCCCTATAATGTAACTTTTTTTAAAAAAAACAATATTGACATCTTCATTTACAAGCAGTAGTACACTTAATCATATCCAAAACTAAAATAGGTCTTGCTGTATTTTCTGCCTTCTGAAAACAATAGTTATTCCTAGTATGTTCCAAAAATTTTGGTCTTTCCAAACAACTTAGACAACTAGTCAGTTCAGTGACATGAAACAATCTTTTGGGCATGAGTAAGATCTTTAGGGTATGAGCACATGGGAGAAAATTCAAGTGATTCCTTGAATTACTGTAATATCCCAACCCTCACCAAAGCACCACATTTTTAGACAAAAATAAGTAGAATATTTTATGGTGTTTGTCAGACACTTGTTGCAAGATTTTTATTTGAAGACCTAGAGCATAGTAGTTGCTGAAGAACAACTTGTGCTTCTGGTTAATGAGGGTTACACTACTCTCCGCATTTTCTTGTTTCCTTCTACTGCTTTTGAGGGTATTTACTATAAATCATTATTTCCAGTTTTGGAATTCTTACACATACATAAGCTAATGACCAACAACTTTTAGCTATGAACTAAGTGTTAATATTTTCTCGTAGTAAGTACTAACCTGGTATTTTTTGAAACCATACTGTGGTCTTTATTCAATAACTTATTGAATTCTACTGTCATCAGTAGCCTTTTGTGATTGCTTTTCCTGTTGGAAATGCATTAGTAAAATTAGTTTTGAGGTAAAACTACTCATTAGTTTTACCAGTGGTAATTCTGGAATCCAGCAGCTTGCTATGAATTGGTTTGAAGTAGACAGCAGTAAATTAGTGGATGAAGAGTGTACATGCAATGTGTGTAATCATCTAGAATTTAAATTGAGGAAGTTTGTTCACTGGAGTGATGATGCATTTTCTTTTAACATGGAAGTGCAGGAGGAAGGCACACAGATTCTGAGTAAAGGTTCAGTAGTGCGGATGATGCAGAATTGTTAACAGTGGTACTTGAAATGAAAGGTGACCCCAATTTTCTGTAATAGATACAGAATTCAAATTACTTTGCTGTGTCATCTGAAATGAGTATTTTGTTTATAGGTTTTATGGAAGGAATGTTTGTATTGGGAGATACTGAAATTAATCCTGTAAAAACTGAATATTAAAAGGATAGTATAAAATGTTTCTTTATCTGTAGGCAGTGTAACTATAAATCTCTGATGCCATTTGTCTATGATATACCTTAGTTGTCTTAATTAAAATGAGTAAAAAATGGCATTTGTCTATGATATACCTTAGTTGTCCTAATTCAAATGAATAAAAAATGTTTTTTCCCCCCTCTCTTTAGGAGGCCTTATCGATGTCAATATGAGTGAAATTAGTTTTGATGAAATTCAACAAATGTTTTCAAAAGATTTAGACATTAAACCCGGAGGACACTGGAAACCAACAGACTGTAAGCCACGGTGGAAGGTGAGATGCTTATTTTCTGTTTTGGTTTCTTTTTTCCTGTTGGTGTATAAGAATAGTTTACCATTGCAAGCACTTTGTCTTTTGCTGCAATGTATATATTATATAATATGTAGTATGTTATGGCATATGTATTTTGTCATCTGTGCTCAAGAAGAAACTAAAGCTTGGTGAAAATGTTGAAGTGGATCATCAAGAACTTTTAAATGTTTGTTAACTGTTGTTAGTAAACATTTTATCCTATGGTTCCAAACCTGTCCTTTGTGTATGTTTCTTGAAGTAAAACTAGAATCAAGCAAAGTAAAAGGAAAATTTTATTTATATTTTACTCAGATATTTTTCTTAATTATTTGAGCAAAATTCCAATACACTTTCCTAGTGGGAACCAAACTATGAAACGCTCAATTTAAATGTAAAAGTTGATGAACCTATGTAATCCATGGGAAACTTGATCTATATTGAAATATTAGACTTTAAAAATGCTGATAGAATAGCTTAATATGAATATATATATCATTTTTTAAAGGTAGCGATCCTTATTCCTTTTCGGAATCGCCATGAGCATCTTCCAATTTTTTTCCGTCATCTGATACCTATGTTGCAAAAGCAGAGACTGGAATTTGCCTTCTATGTTGTTGAACAGGTAACAGCATTCACTTGAAGCTCCTCAAGATTCCTTGCTAAAGGCGATTTGATATTCTTACCAAGATTTGGATGAATTCAGAATTTAAAAATTGTTGCTCTACTCTTCTGCTCCTCTGAATGAAAAACTAGAGTTTATCTCCATTCCCCAATTTAAGCAGTGGCCAGATACATGTTACTTTTCATCAAATACAGGCTGACATTTTATGGATGATAACATGGCCTTTTTGAACTATTGTGTTTGTAAGTTTTCAGGGGAAAAAAATAGGGCTGCATGTGCCTGGTGATCGGTCACCAGCAGTGTTACTCAGGGCTCAGTTCTAGGGCCAGTTCTGTTCAATGGATGCAGGAGTTGAATGTACCATTAGCAAGTTTCCTGGTGATACCAAAGGATGGGCTGCCTTGCAGAGGGATCTAGATAAACTGGAGCATTGGGCAGTGATTAATGGGATGAAATGTAGTGAGTCAAAATGCTGGATTCTGCAGCATTTTCCTGAGTAAAGCTGGGCACAAGTATAAACTGGGAGAGGAGGAGCACTTGGAGAGCTGTTCTGCACAAATGGGTGTGGGATGCTGTTTGGCAGCAGGCTCAGTGTGAATCAGCAATGTTGCCCTGGCAGCTGGGAGGACAAACCCTGTCCTGGAGTGCCTGAGTATCTGGCATGACCAGCCTGTCAAAAGAGTTTATTAATCCCACTGTATTCAGCACTGATGCAGCCTCACCTCGAGTACTGTGTGCAGTTCTTGGCCCTACAAGCCAAGAAGGATATGAAGGTCCTTGAATATGTCCAGAGAAGGGTAACCAAGCTGGTGAAAAGGGCTGGAAGGAATGTCTTGCGAGAAGTGTCTGAGATCAGTCTAGTTTGGAGAAAAGGAGGCCGAGGGGTGACCTCATTGCTTCCTACAGCTTCTGAGGAGAAGAGTGGAAGAGAAGGTGCAGATCTCTTCTTCCTGCCATAGAGTGATAGGACATGTGGGACTGGCTCAAAGGTGTGCCATGGGAGATTCAGACATCAGGAAGCATTTCTTTACCAAGAGGGCAGTCAAACACTGGAATAGGCTTTCTGGAGAGGTGGTCGATGCCCCAAGCCTTGTCAGTTTATAAGAAGCATTTAGACAGTGCCCTTAATAACATGCAGTAACTTTTGGTCAGCCCTGAAGGGCTCAGGCAGTTGGACTAGATAATAGTTGTAGATCCCTTTGAAGTGAAAGATTCTATTCTATTACGTTCTGTTTTAATGAGAAACAAAACATAATGTTTCTTTGTTAATTTGTATCAGTATTTCTTTAATTTGTAATGTCATGTTGTATTAATCCAAACCACCTACAATTTGGTACTTCAGATTTTCTAGTGTTAAAAGTTGCTAAGGTTGTGGAGTTCTGTGTAAGAGGGGAGAACATCTAGTTTTTTTCATTCACTAAATACGAAAGAGGAGTAACTGGTGTCAATGCTTTTTTTTGTGTGTCTGGTGGAGTATGTATTTCTCATAGTATTGAAATTTTGTCTCTTCTTGATTTTTACAATGTCTCCGTTGTTTTCTGTTTGAAGACAGGTACACAACCTTTTAATCGTGCAATGCTCTTTAATGTCGGCTTCAAAGAGGCTATGAAGGATGCTGTCTGGGACTGCATAATATTTCATGATGTGGATCACTTACCTGAAAATGACAGAAATTATTATGGATGTGGAGAAATGCCACGCCATTTTGCAGCAAAGCTGGACAAATACATGTACATGTAAGTAATTAGTTTTAGTCACATTTCATAAATACCTAGAAACATTTTTAAAGCATGTATGAATTTTGTGACCTACAGTAGGTGAAAACAATAAAACAGCCTCCTAATATACTGTTTATGGAAATGAGTATCTACTTATTAAAGGGAAGATTTAAGTTTAGTGTCTACATTTGATATGTTATTAATTAGAAGATGTTATTTATAGTTTCCAGTGTTGAACTTGTTGCAGTGAAGTTATCTTTAAAAAAAAAAGACTGTGTGTGTCGAGGGGGAAAAACTTACTTTGCTTACTAGAAATGCTTTCTGGCTACATAAGCCCTTGTGCTGGCTGTTAAAAAAGATGCAAATGCTACAGGAAAAATGTCTTTCTTAATTTTTTCATAAATGTGCAGTTTATGTCTGCTTTGTACTGCTCTTTTAAACAGAAGATTTTCTTACTGCTAGACCATTTTATATATTGCATTCAGTTTCTATTGACATTTGATGAATGTGGTGGGACCTGCAGTTCTGTTACCTCCTTTCCTTCTGCCATTTTGCATTAATGATATTTCACTTGCTTTTTAACGCTCTGCTATCTCATGACATTATTTGAATCACTTCACATAATAAGCTGTAGCTTATTGCTTTCTCTTTTAAATATTTGCTATCCTGAACTTTGTTTGTGAAGTTGATCAGTTTGACAGCCTGGTCAACTAATAGATCAAAAGCAATGCATTGAAGCCATGGCTCTGTGTTTGGACTTTCAGGTTGTCAGCTGATCAGCAGGCAAGTGTTTAAAGCTTTCTAAAGTATTTAAAAATATATAAATTAGCACATATAAATATAGAAGGGACTTCGTCTATCTTCATACGATTTATAAAATACTTTATGTATTTATATATAAATTTATAAAATATCTATTAGGTAAGTATTTACAAAATTGATAAATGTATAAATAAAACCAGATTTGTGAAATACAAAAATTTTTATATCTATACAAAAAAGTGCGCGTGTAGTGCACACACATACATAGATATGAATAAAAACCTCAAACAGTCCCATTAAGTGTTGTGTTCCAGTTAGTTTTGGTTTTAGTTGTTGGTGGATTTTGTTGCTTGTTTTGGAGGTATGTGTATAGCACTGGATTTTTGGGGCTGGGTCCTTTAAAACACCTGTTTTTTCAGTTAAGTGTTGAAAGGGATATATAGCAGCAACCTTCCCAAAGGCTATTAAGATTTGGTTGAATCCTCTGTTTCCACAGAGATCAGAAATTACATGACTGTGTATTTCTTTTTCTTTCCCCTTGCATTCTGGAGTTATTTGTCCTTCAGTGTGGCAATTATGTCCTAAGCAATGGTAAATCTTTTTGTAGATAGTCTTAACTCCTCGAAGGTTACAGATTTGGAACTGTCTCTTGAGAATTATGTTCAATTACTTTTGTTTTATGAAACCATATGCTGTTTCTGAAAGGGGGACACACATGTAAGTAGCATCTTCTGGGTTAAAGATGAAAGTCAGTATGGACACAAGTAAATACAGATGCTTAAATATACTTTTTTTTTTAGATTTACCAAGTGTTTTGAGACTGGAAATTGCATTGCCTGGGGCATAGTGTGTTACACAGATACAGTGGCTGTTCACATTGGCCAACTGCTTATAACTTATATTCGTTAGCAATTACAGTATGGTTGCTGAAAAAAAGAGCATATGATCCTTTTGCTTCAAATATTTATCTTCTAAAAACTGGAAAATGATTTTTTAGCAGTTGTCTTTCACTGTATTTGAATACAGATGGTTAAACTGTTTCAAGTTTTAACAGTTCTGTAGAATATAGTCATGAATTAAAGTGGTTTGATTGATGCATTACTGATTTGTAATTTTTCAGTTGATTAAAGAGGTGTTTTTTTCAGTTGAATAATGTCAAAATACAATAGTTTGAGGGTGTCACTTAACACTTCAGCTGTGGCTCTAAATCAGCTGTCTGAAATATGTGATTGACTTTCAGTTTGTATGGTGATACCAAACTGTAGCTCAAATTAAGAGCACCTTTTTTGCAAATCAGACATTTCTGCAAACATTTTGTTCAGCTTGGTGTATGCTACTTATTGCCAGCAGCCTGTGGACCAGATTCCTGTAGTGAATACATTCAGTGTCCCTTCATGTCCGTAGTGTGGGATTCTCCTTTTTTGGAAAGGTGTTCAAAGAGAGGGCTGCCTATCAACGTTCAGCTAATACTATAGAATTTATCTTTTGTTTTCAGCCTTCCATACAATGAGTTCTTTGGTGGTGTAAGTGGCCTGACAGTGGAACAATTCAAGAAGATCAATGGGTTTCCAAATGCCTTTTGGGGATGGGGTGGAGAAGATGATGATCTTTGGAACAGGTGAGTGTTAAGTGCTTAGGTCTTTCTCACTGTTCTGTAGTATCCACCTTTTGAGAACAATTAGGTGTTTTTTTTCTGTCATTTGTTACCTTATACCTTTTCGTAATTTGTTGTAAATGAACAAGTTCTAATTCTAAAGATTTCGCTTCAGAAATATCAGAACATAATATTTGAAGGGATAAGTATGGTGTTACTTATTCTTGGCCTGGGGACAGTTAGCAGTTTTTAAGACAGGTCTTGTAACAAATAACAGATATAACAATAAGTAACAATACTAAGCATATTTCATCTCATTCCTTCCAGTCTTCTGCATGTTACTTGTAATTTGAATCTCTCTTGCTGCTAACATTATGGAATACCATCCTGCAGACATGTAGAATAAGCAGGAGTTTCATACCTTAGGAGGAGTGTTTGAGAGAGGTGAATTTGTGAATATATCACTAGTCCCAGATTGGACAGTGCACAGGAATGCTCATGGCATTGCTAACTGTTCACAGTAAACAAGTGTAAAATGTTCCAGTTGAGCTGTTGAAACAAAGTGTCTGCATGAGTTTATATATAAGGAGATATTTTTTTAAAGGAAGAGTTTGTTTTTATTCTTTTTATTTCTTACTGTTTTCATGTTTCTATACTGCTGTGCTTTAAGAACAAGCCAGAAATACTAAATATGAAATGATTATTATTGCTATTTCACACTTTGTCTTGCCAGCTTGTTTAGTTATTGGGTTAGGAGTGTTGTAGGTTTTTTAGGGAGACTGTGTCAGTGAATGCAACAACTTAGCTCTAAAATATTTGATGCTTATTTTTCACTTTTGCTATGACTTCTATGAGGAGTTTTAAGAAGACAATCTTACAAATGTTTCTGTACTATACTGCAGGGTTCACTATGCTGGATACAATGTAACAAGACCAGAGGGAGATTTAGGAAAGTACAAATCCATTCCTCATCATCATAGAGGTGAAGTCCAATTTTTAGGACGGTAAGAAAACCAGAGAAATGTTCAAACAGTCAGCTAAAGATGTAAAATTTCTTCTTACATCCACACATATGAATAAAGAGTCAGTGCTTATCAGTGTTACTTCCTCTTTGGTGCTAAATTTTGTATTTTCTTAAACAGATCATGTTTGCTGTTCAGATATCTCTAATTTAACCATGGGAAAGACTGAGTTTGTGTGGCAGAAGATATTAGCAGCATGAACTTTGATGCAGAAAGTTAGTGTTCTATGATAGTTTGGGCATTAGTGCTGACAAGGCTCCATTAGTTGGTTAATTTAGCTGTTTTGCAAAAGGAAGCAGTACAGTTAGGGCAATTGACTCCTGCATGAAACCAGACTTAAAACTCCTCAGGGATCGGTTTCTTCCATCAGATTTCATTCTTTTCTGAGATACAGGTCTTCTCATTTCCTGCATACGTTGACAAAACTTTTTCTTTGGGGATTCCTTTCTTTTTCTACAAAGATGCAAAACACTTTAACTGGTGAGTAGGTTCTGGCTGCCCTAGACAGGAATAGCAACCAGAATGCAGCAGATGAGCTACACTTAAAAATTAGAATGTGAAATGCAAAATAAAGGGTTTATGGTATGTGTTTGAGATAATTAGAACTACTGCTCAATTCTGTTAGCAATGGCTGTCTCTTTCTCGTAACATCATTTTTTCCACTTCATTTGTAGTTTTCAAATAGGCATGTCCAGTTGACATGCATTGAATATGTTATATGAAACTGAAATGTACGTATCTATAAACTTTGCAAGGGGAACTGTTTTTTTTAATCACCTAAATTTAGAAGTTTGCAAGTGCAGGAGTCTCAAGAGTGAAAAAAAGAACAATTCAGGCATCTAAATGTATAATGATGAACAGTGAAGGTTCCTAAATCTTCCCTGAGCTCCCTAGTTGAGTTTTATAGCAAAGAGCATGAAGAAATTGAATTATCTTTAAAAGCCTCTTTAGTTAGGGGTCATAAAATGTATACCTATTAAATGCCTCTTTTGCTGTATAGTCTTAAGGTTAACCTGTATATGTGACCATAAAATCTAACTGTATGAAAAAACTATAAAAGGTTGCTTTTAAATCTTTGGTAGGTAATTTGGTAATTTTAAAGGGCTGAAGTTTCAGAATTTAAGGTGTATTTCAAAATGAAATGTCTGTTACAGTGTCATATATCATCCAACATCAATTGAATTGCATCTTGCAAACCTTTCTCATGTTTTCTTATTCCAATTTCCTCTGCAGATATAAACTTCTGAGGTATTCCAGAGAACGTCAGTATATTGATGGGTTGAACAATTTAGTATATACTCCTAAAATAATTGTCAGCAGATTGTATAAAAATATAACTGTTAACCTCATGCCAGAACTTGCTCCTGTTAGAGACTATTGATTGAAGTGGAGTGACAAGCTACCCTACCAGAATAAACTTTTAACACAGGAAGCTACTAATAGACACTGTAAAACAAAGTAAAACAAACCCAAGAAGCAGCAGCTTAGAACTGGAGGTTTTTGACCATTTGATGATGAATATTTGGGATGAAAAGTGATTGTATGTACCATGCATTTTGTTCTGAAAGAAAAGCCAGCAGCTACCACTCAGATGTTTACAGCATGAGACTACTGTTCAAGCCTTCATTCTTCATATTCTCTATCTTAACCACTCAACTAAATAAACTGCAGAAAACAGGCTTGTAGCTTCTCTGGAAGTAGGGACAGAGGCCTCTTCCAGGAATTTTTTTATATTAAACTGCCCCCCCTCATATTTAAATGAATGCTTTTATTTCTTTTTAAAATGTGTTTTGTAAATATGTGATGTAAATTAATGTGTGTACATTGCTTTTGAACTGCTCAACATTTTATGCTTCAGTATGTGTTTGACTGTGTTCTCATTTGAATTCTATAGGAATGTTTTTATTAGCATGAAAGAACAAGTGTAAAATGTAAGTATGCTTAAAAAAAGGTTATACCTTATGTGAAATGAAGGAAACATTAATTGTTGGCCAGCTATGACTGTAAACTGTTATACTAGTTTTGAGCTCTAGGCCTTCGGCATATCTATATAGAAAAATCAATTTCATATATGAACTTGCTAGAAAGAAAGCTTTTAATTTTATTTATTGCCAGCAAAATTGTACGATGCCCTGCCTGCCATCTAAATCCTATTTATATGCATATTGCATGTGTATTACAGAAAATCTTGCGGTTGTTGCATATTACGATCTACAGGAACTCTAACTGTTTCCACGTGTGCCACTAGTGTCAATGTCAGGGATTTTAATGCCTAAAACAATGTGTCTCGGTGCGTACAGTATTTTGGTATTGTTCTTTTTAAGAAAAAAAAAATCCTAGTAAACAGCACTTTTATTCCTCCAAAATCAGAAGAGCCAAAAATGTGTCTTCATTGGAAGAATATTAAAGTTAGATTTTTAAGAGAATAGTAAAACATAGTTCTAATAGTTCTAATGCTTGCAATGTGGAGTTTTCAGAACCATGGTATTGGTCATAGTGTTCCACTGATGAGGATGAGTGTGAATGACGTTAAGTGGAACGGAAAGGCCAATCTCAAGTGCTTTTGGGAATTCCACTCATAATATATTATTCAATATAGCTATTTAAGGGCCTATTTTGGTAGAGTGCTGAGTGCTTCCATGATGCACTAAGTATCCTCAAGTCGATGACTGTCAATGAGATTGAGGTTGCGCAGTTCCGCTAAGGTTTGGTCCTGTCTGTTTCTCTATTTTTGTGGTGTTATATATATGAGTAACTAGCCTCTTTCTTTAGCTTATAATGAAAAACATATCTTCTTATTTTCTCTTTGCTTGTAATATTATGCTACCTAAAAGTATCCCACTGCTAAGCATTATTATCTTTTCCCAATATTTTTTTACATCCCTTGTTAATACTAAGGAAAAGGACCGGGTCATTTATTTTCTATGTTATAATACAAAGATATTGACCAAGATCCACTAAATTGTTTTGTTTGTCACAGTTACTGAACTCTTTAGGAACCAAAGACTGACTTCTGCTCCCATGAAGAATGGAAAGCAGTATATATAATAAGGATTGTTTATCCATAGAGTGTTCTGTAAGAGTGTTGACAAAGAATACTAACTTTACTATGTGTTGGTTTCCTGAATTGCTGCCATGGGTGGTGTGGTGCTTTGTATATTTTAAGTTTGTTTGCCATAAACGCCTTTTATTTCCTTGACATCCCAGCAGCAAATTTTGCCCTTAGCCATTCTTCAGTAAAGTTATGAGCTTAGTTGTAGGCATCTCAAATATTTAGTAGAAATATAATTATTTTATTTAAGTAGTTGAGAACAATTGTAAAGGATATTTTATACTGTATTGGAATTGTCTTAAAATCTACCAGTTAATCTAATATGCTTTAGGAATGATGTAGTACAATGAAAATAACTAAAAGCATAAAGTGAAGAAAACATCCTTCAAAAGCATGCTTAAGTTGTTTGATCACCTCCTGATATATTTTTCTATAACTAAGTGTATAGAATATTCTGAAGCATATGAAGAAAGGGGAGATAATTAATACACTGTATGAACAATTATATCTTCAAAATAAAATTAGTCTTATTTCATAACAGACTAATACAATTCTTTCAGAACAGCTGAATAAATTTTTTAATCCTTGATGTAATTTTGAAGTGATTTCTGGTTTTCAGTACAATTTCACTTACAATTTAACACCTGTGATTATGAAGCATCCATTGGTACTGTAGGCCTGTACTGTTTTCTGAAGTATGCTTTTATGCCCGTTTGTTGGACATTCTGTGAAATTTATGTGCAATTTAAAAAACTTCTAATGCATATATATGTATATATACTTATATATATACATCCTATATTACACATATGCTGTGGCCGAACTAATATAACTTTACACCTTTAAGTGATTGGTCATGTATGGTCCTAGAAAAATGTGATTTAAACCAGTATGTGAATGGATTGTGACACATAGGTGAGTTCTTAAACAGTTTACATTTTGGTGCCCCAAAGTGATGGATGTTAAATTATGAATCGTTGACCAACACTCATCTCTAAATACCTTTTATCACTTTGTCGGGAAGTTTTACAAGTTGCCATCTTAAATTACATCACAATAGTGTTTGTATACTACCTGCTTGAGCTCAGTACTCTTCTGTAGTGAATTTTAACATAGACAGTGCCTTGAAACAAAATAAATATGATGCAGAACTAAGAGTTGTGCACATTCCTTTTGATATTTTCATGATTCTTGTAAAATCTATAGAGGAGCCAATCACATTGGCTTTTGGATTGCTGACAAGGCAAATTAAGGACGTCTCTTCAAGGAGTGAACATGGAGGGAGAAGAAAGAGTATTTTACAAGATTCTGAAGGTCTTGCGAATTAACAAGTAAAAATGTTGCATAAATATTAATGGTTGAATCTGGACAATATGCTAAGATACTCTTAAGCCCATTTTCTATATTTCAAATTTAAGTAGAATATAGAACATAAAATCCATTTTGCAATAGACAGGATATTGAAAAGCAAGTGCAAAATACCCTTTTTCTTGGATCTTGCCAGTTTATTTTTCTATCGTTATGTTTACTATGACTATATTGCAGTGGGTTACTAATGAGCCAGTTATGTAAAAATATTAAAAGGTTCCATTACATATCAGCAAGAGGAAGTGTACTTAAGATTATTTTATTTGTAGAGATATATAAGATAGGCTTAATGAAAAATGCACTGAAACAAATGCTGGGAATTTCCTGTGTACTATCATAGTTTTGGGGTTTTTTGTTGTTCATGAAAATGTTTGTACTTTTTTATCATTGTCTTTTATGAAATATAATGTTCTAAAGATTGTGTTGGTTTGTTTATTCTGAGGTTCAGTGGAAAACATATCATCTTTGTGTTTTGTTTCTAGACAAAGTGCTCATTTTTCTAGTGCTCAGTACCTCAAAATAACAGCAAAAGGAAGGGACACACCTGTCTAAATACATCAGGTTAGGTTGTGATGGGATCAAGCCTTAGGCTAGCAAAGTGTTTTCCCTTTTATGGTATTTGTATGCTTTCAGCTTTTGGTTTTATTAGGCTAAATGACTCAATGTTTTTGCATCCTTCTCCAAGACAGATTTTCTAATCTGTTGAATCTCCTAGTGGTTCATCCCTATGTGTGGATTACTAGAATGGGAATAGAAGGATTCATCCATATTTCTCCTGGCATTAAATAGGAAGCTGGTTTTCTTGGGGAAGCATCAGTTATTTTTATTTGTATGTTATTGCTATTACAAAAGTGTCTGATGGTTAGAGGTGTGCAAGTAATTTTTGGGAGTGCTTCAAGTAGGGACAAATCTATTTGCAGAATTTTCTGAAAATGCATGAATAAACTCCTTCAGGTATGTTTGATGGATATACTTTTCTGCAACATTGGCCATGGGCTGTCCTTGAAAGTGTCACCAGTTATGATATATTGGAAAACAGGAAAGACAGCACTTTGTGTAGCATGCTTGGCATCCTTCAATGTTGTTCTGCCCTGCTGTCACTTTGAAGCTGTTTTTGATACCAAAGGGTTAACCTAGAAATAGAGAATGTGTGCTCTTAGATAATGATTAAAACAAGACATATAGGCCATGCTTACTGGGCTAGAAATGGGGAACTGTGTGTCTTAGATTAAAGCAAGATGGGCATGCTCACTGGGCAGGAACCAAGGGTGCTCTTAGATAATGATTAAAACAAGACATATAGGCCATGCTTACTGGGCTAGAAATGGGGAACTGTGTGTCTTAGATTAAAGCAAGATGGGCATGCTCACTGGGCAGGAACCAAGGATGGATGGATGGAACAAGAAGATAAGGGAACAAAGGAACTATCAATGTATACAGCAGGCTTAAGCAAAAGTAACACCATTAAAGGGCTAAAAGTGCAGGGAGGGCCACAGACTAAGCTGCTTGGATGGCCTCAAAAGCGCACCCCGGGAACCACCACCTCAATTTAGTAAGCTTGCGTGATATTATAGTGAAGGGAGGGGCTATGATAATGATTTCAGGGAAGTGATTAGCCTATTTGTATGGAAACTATTGAATATGTATGACTTGTGTTTATAAAAGACTGGAAGTGTTTGGAGCTAGGTATGAATGTTTGGTGCAGTGATCCCCCATGCATCCGGCGCTGCAATAAATAATGCCTGATTCTTAACGCTGCTTTGGAGCTAAGGGGTTTCATTCCCAATTTCGTTGACAGTTTCTAGTGACCCAGATGGGACCTTGTTTCTGAGCCTTGGTGGATCCAGGGTTGATGTATCTCCAGCTGGCACTGAGGGATTCTCAGGGAATCTCTGCGGCTCAGGGGCAAGATCCCTGGGTAGGTAAGGCATTATTTAATATTTTGGGATTGTCTGAGTAAGGGAATTTGAATCTCCTGCAGGGTTTGAGTCCCTGGGTAAGTTTACCATCCACATGGGTTTTGAGTCCCCAAGGATTAGGGGTTTGAGTCCCTTGCATGGAACTCTCTATTGGTGCATTGGAAATCGTTTTTCTTGGTGTTGCTTTTGTTGAGCCTCTATTGATAAATGTGGGAACGGTGGCCTTGAAAGCCATGGTGGGGAATGATATCCCCAGCTCACCATTGAAGTGTATATTGAACCACTGGAAAAAGGTGGGGGGAGACCCATTCCTAAGTCTAAATTAAGTATTGTATTCAGTAGTGGCCAGTGTACAAGCTGGAGGATCAAAGAAAGTGGTCTGAGAATGGCACATTGGATTACAACACCATTTACAAAAACTAGGGGGAGAGGGGTTCGAGAGATTTGAGAAAACTCCTGAAAGTAGCGTGGAAGGTTTTCATCAATGGAGGGGAGGAGGAGGAAAACAGGAGAGAAAAGGAGAAATGGAGAGATGCAAAGCTTATTGCTGCCCTCAAGGGGGCACCAACAAACCAAAAAATGAGAAGGGGACCCCCAAAGTGGGGACTGAAATGTAATCAATGTACATATTGTGAATGGTTTGGCCATTGGAAGTGGGAATGCCCTCACAGGAGGACAGAAAGGGGAGTGATGGAACTGCCAGTACAGCAACAATGAAAGCACCAGGGGTGGAAACCCCAGCTGAACCCCTGGTTACAATAGAGCTGGGGAAACAGAAATTGATTTTTCTTTTTTTTTTTCATTTTCAATAGATATTGGGGCCACCTGTTTGGTGTTGAATACAAATCAAGGGAAAGTCAAGAAATTGTAAGTGTCGTTGGGGTGACAGGGAAGGCTGAAAAGCAAAAATTTTCCAATCCTGTAAAATCTGGAAAACAATGGATAACTCAACCAATTTTTATATATGCCTGAGTGTCTGGTTCCCTCTTAGGAAGGGACCTCTAGAGCAAACTAGAAGCCCAAATTGTGTTTAAAGACAGAGACATGCAGAAATTGTGATGGGATGGGCAGAAAGACTGCAGAAAAATTGACTCTACCAGTTGTCATCCTGTTTTCTTAGGATGGGAAGGCATATCATCAATTGCTCATCATACCAAATCCCTGGGTCAAGGTTAGCATCAAGTTTTCCTCAAAACCTTGTCTTGTAGACAAAATAACACAAAATATTATTAATCTAGCTTCTATTTTTTTGATTGGATGACGGTCTCATGAGTTTCATGTGCACAGGGTTGATGTTTTCCACAGCCCACTCCTGGTCTGCTGTCTTTTTGACCCTGTTACAGTGTATCCACGGAGAGATTCCTTTACCTTCACAGCAGTCCAGGTGGTCAAGAAAACCAGGTATGGTCCATTCCACTGCTCCTGTAGTGGTTCTGATTTCCAGGTCTCTATATACACTTGACCCCTGGGCTGAAATGAATGAACTGGGGTATCTAAGGTTAATGGTTCCAAAAGAACAATAAATACCTTTAGTTTATTTAAAGATTTTCCAAGAAAAACTAAATGGTTCTCAATTTCCTGACTTCCAATTTGTTCCGTTGGCCCAGGGAAGATTGTGGCCTGGAACAGTCTTCTAAACATAATTCATATGGGCTTACTTGTTATTTTGTTTGGGGTTGTACTCTGATTCTTAATAATGCCAGTGCTAAGGCCTGTGGTCATTTCAGGGAGGCTTCTTCACATATTTTACTATATTGCCTTTTTAACATCTGATTCATTCTTTCAACTTTTCTGTTGCATTGAGGTCTCCGTGGGGTATGGAGGTCCCAGTCAATACCTAATTGTTTACTTAGTTGCTGTAACATTTCAGATACAAAGTGGGGTCCCCTATCCATTGATATCCCAATAGGTATCCCAAATCTGGGTATGATTTCTTTGAGAAGCATTTTAGTTACCTCTCTAGCTTTGTTGGTGCAGCAGGGAAAGACTTCTGGCCATCCTGAAAAGGTATCTACCAGTACTAAGAGGTACCTGTACCCTTGTTGGTGTGGTAGCTCAGAAGAATCAATTTGCTAATAATCCTGGTGGGTACCTTTTCCTAATGGTTCCTTGGGGTGGCCTTCTTAAATTTTGAGGATTGTTTTTGAGGCATGCTGGGCATTTTTCAGTGACAGATCTTATAATTTTAGTCATCTGTATGCTGCGTATTTAGGGTTGTAAGTTGGCCATCATTGCATCAATTCCCCAGTGGGTTTGCTGATGTTTCTCCCTCACAATCTGCAACATTAATTGAGGAGGAACTATGACTTGATTGCTTGGAGTCAACCAGCCACCCACTTTCTTGATTTTGGACTTTCAAATATGTGGCTGATTTCAGATCTGCTTGACTGTAGTCAGGCTTACCTTCTGGGTTTGATAGTCTTTTCAGGTACTAATGCTAGGATGCTTTGTTGTGCAACCTCTTTTGCAGCCTTATCAACCAATTTATTTCTGAAGTGGATTGGGGAATTTCCCTGCTGGAGCACTCTACAATGTAGTGTGGCTACCTCTTTGGGCTGGTGAACGATGTCAAAGAGTGACAGGATTGCTTGTTTGTATTTGATCAAGGATCCTTGTGCTGTCAGCAAGCCTCTCTCTTTCCATGTGGCACCATGAGCAAGGATGACACTGAAGGCATATTATGAGTCAGTCCACATATTTGTTCTTTTCCCTTCTGCTAGCTCTAGAGCCATCCATAGGGCTAGAAGTTCTGCCTGCTGTTCTGAGGTGTCCACTGGCAGAGGCAAACTGGAAGTTTTGGAGCTTGGTGGAGAGATCCTCATGCATCTGGTGTTGCAATAAATAATGCCTGATTCTTAATGCTACTTTGGAGTTAAGGAGTTTCATTCCCTATTTTGATTACACTTTTACTTCTAGATCTCAAAAATTAGAATTGAGAGGTGAGTTTATCTGATGATTATGTGGGGCCCTTAGTAAGTAATCCCATTTGTTGTGGGCTTCAGTAATAAAGAATAGGAGATGGTAGCGCTGGATTGCGTTTTCTGTGTGCTTACTTTTCATGAGATGCCTTTCAGATGTGTTTTGTTTACCTCCTTTGCAAGAAGAAATGTAATTTATTAACTTCATGGAAGACTTTGGTTTATCCTCAGAGTCTCAGTAATGGAATTTCAATGCATTTTTCCTAAGCTTAATGTGTTTTTTTCAAACCCCAAACTTTTATTCAGAAGGACAATACAGGCAGTATACAGAATATATAGATTACCTTTTTCAGGAGAGTATTTGAAAACAAAGTCAATACACGTTTTTCCTAAAGCTAACAAAGAGAATAAACAACTTGACTGTTACTGTTAGTGATTTACTATGAAATCTAAAGCTGTTGTTACAGTCAGATACTGAATTCTAATAATTTAAGAAAAATTTAATGTACACATCTGAATTTTCATGCTTAATGTCAGCATCTATTCCACTGGATCACTGACTACTGCTGTAGTTGAGTAAGAAAAGGGACTGAGGACAACAGCAATGTAGTAATGTCGATACCCAGCATCATTAGCTGTGAACACTACCTGGAAAACGAAAAAAACAATACAAGACAAATGAGAAGTGACCTCTAGATGCAAACCTTGATGGAACAATTCTGATCATTTTATATAACAGTATGCTACAGTAACTGGCATTAGGCCAAAGTATGAAACAATGCATTCCTTTGTCTACAGCATGATAATAACCTTATGTATGAATGATTTGCTACAGCTCTATTAACTTTGCCCCCATCAACACGTCCTGTCCTTTGATTTCTCACCCTACATAGTAGATTATTTTGTGTTGTGAAATGAGTGCTGACTTTTAAAACAGACGCAGTTTAATATTCTTCGATGCAGAGCTTGTGCTCCCTTCACCATTAATAAAAAAAAAATTCATATGAAACAACCAGTGAACTGAGCAAAATGTGATCCCTACTGAAGCTTGTTTTTAAGAAAGAAGGCCCTTGCACTCTAGATAAAATTAATTTCTAGTCTTGAATATAGACTTAAAGATTATCTTGATATATAATCCATTTACTCGCATATTGTAAATCTTTCATCTTCGTGCATATTTCAGTTATCACAGAAGACAAGGCTATCCATCATTAACCTTCATAATTGTCTAGTATAAGAGTGTCATCATCCATTTTGGGAAGGCAGAAACATAATTTAACTCAGGTGTTTGCCACCTTTTCTCCAAGGAGATGAAGAATGGCTGAGCAGATCTGTCACAGTCCAGCAAACAACTAATATAGCACTGCTACTGCTGAAAGGTCATATGAAAACACTGATGATGTGGAGGGGAAGGGGACAACCCCCAAAGGGTCCAAAACCCTGCAGCAGGCCTCACTTGGTATCTGGTTTGGAACACCTTTCTCTAACCAATTTATTTGTCCTGTGCAAATTAAAAAGGCATGTTATACCTTTTCTTTCTGTTACAAACTGAGGATCCAAGCATCCAGAACACAGTACATACTTCCATTATATTTACAAATCTATATTATACACTTTGTCTGTAGCCATACAAATACTGGGTCCAAAAGGCAGAGAAAACCTATCCCAGGAGACTTAACAGTATACTCCACCTGTTATTCTCCCTCAGGTGTTTAGAATAGTCACGATAAGAATCACAAACTTAAGCGGAATAGAAGGATAGAAAATCTCTTCATAAGAGATTACTGAGAGTAACAGGGAAGCTAGACCTAGGTTCTGTCATGAGTATGTTGTTACAAAGCTTTGAGACTGTGGATTTAAAGTGTTAAGGTGAGAAGATTTTTGAAGTGAAAATAGAGTTCAACATGTCCTGTTAGTAACTGAAGCCTGGACATATAAAGTATCTTTATTCTTTGCAACTAAAGTATAGGAGAAAGTGAATACTCACATCAGCATGGTGATGGAAGGGATTCAAGCCCAGACTCTTCCAATAAGAGGCTGTGTCAAGCTCAATCTTGTATACTCCTGCTACAAATTTTTCTTTAGTTGTAAATTCAGGGAGGCCTCCTTTGTCATTGGTTTGTCTGTGTGATGGGAGAATAATGCTCTTTTATGTTTTGGTTAAAAGCCTGAGAAAGATGCAGTTTTTAGTAATTGAACTCGAGCAATGCGTAGCTTAAGTAATATGATGAATACTTCTATTGCTCTGGAATGGCTTAAGTCCATGTGCATTACGGATGCTTCAGAGCTTATCTTGGCATTTGCTACTTCCACAATGACCACAGCAGATGGCAGTCTGCCATGTCACTACTCTGCATGGTTTGGGGGTGAGCCAAGAACGGGCATTGTTGTTCATAGACTCTTGGCAGAGTCTTGGAGTTAATTAAATGAACCCACTCAGAGGAAAAACTTCACCACTGCTGTAAGCAATGTGGAAGCTCTATGATGCACTTACTGTGCAGCTAAGTAGGGCCAACTCTCCTGATTTTTCCACAGTTTTCTTTCTTATTTAAATGTATTGAGTTGTTTTATCACTATAAATGCTTTTTACAGTTGGCTATTAGAAATTTGAAATCTGCTATTTGAAATGACCGTAGGTCAGCTAACAGAGTCGCCTTATGGAATTCCCTGTGGTTTGTATTGACCAGTTATTTTCCATCCTCAAAGAACAGATTTTTTTTTTATTTTATTTGAAGATGGTATCAGTGCTATCCAAAACTATAGTACTGGTTTAAATCTGTGCATTGCTGAATACCAATGCATTTAGGGCTCCATAAGCAATATTGAATGGTGTCTCTCAAACTTGGCTCATTTGAAACCTATTTGGGTTTAAAATTGGGTTCATAGTACCCCTTTTTTATGGGTTAGGTTATCTGCAAATAACAGTGCTGCTTGTGCCTGAGTTTAGTAGCTACAAACCACGGGTTTGTGTTCTAGCTGCCAAATCTATTTCTGAACATGTTTTATTCAAATTGCATGCAGAGAAAAATAATGTCATTGTCCAGTGCATTACTTAGGATTTGTTCTTTGAGATAGCTTACAACTATGAAGTGATAGAACACTATTTGTATCTTACAAGATGCTCTCTAGTCAGTTATCAGAATTCTTTTAGCCATTCAATTCTCTGTTTTTTGTCATAGATTGATCATTGTTAGATAATTAATCACTTCTCAGTTAATACCAAACGTATCTTTAATTGAGAAAATTTATTTCAGAATCTCTTGCTAATGTTCAATTATTTAGAAATTAACAAGGCTGGAATTGATTTAATGTTAGCATGACTTTTTCTTTCCTTGTGTTAAGGTAACTTTGCTCTTTGTTTCAAAGGTTAAATATGATTTTATGGCTTCAGTCAACATCCAGCTGTTTAGAGAGTATCTTTGTAAAAAGTCTCTAAGCTCAGACTTGAAGATAAGTAAACTAAACACCCTCTTACTGGAAAATTTAATGCATTTTCAGTGATAGAATATGTGTGAAGTTGTCTTCTCACTTGAGGGGTTTGAGGCAATTTAAGTAGGACTGTGAATAAATTGTTTTCCCCATGTTGTACAATTATGTGTGGCATTCACTGTAGCTATATTTGTCAAGGACGCATCTGAGAGCACTGTTGCTACTGCCAGCTCACTGCTTCAGGACACTAAAGAGCCACTTACATACCGTTTCTTATGAATTTCTAGAAATGCATCTGAGTCTGGGATCCCTATATCGTAATTTCTGTGCTATGTCAGCTTTAGCTCTTAGGAGCCCTTTCTCACCTATTTATTTTAGGTGGAATAGACTCTTAACAGATCTGGAAAGGTCTCAGGGTGAGACTTTGCAACTATCTTGAGAAGGCTAGTGTGGACGGAGAATATTACTTGTTGAATAAAGAATGCTCAGTCTGTGTATCCCCTAAGAATGTTCCCAATTTCGTTTCAGATTATACTCTAAGTAAAAATTGCTTTTTAGTTTTTTAAGTGTTCTATACTAAAGTTGAGGACAACTAAAAAAGCCATCTACATTTGAAATTCTGCAATTATAATTTTTTAAAACACATGGCCATGCTTAAATATCTGGAGATTGTTTTTGTTATTTGAGATGTAATTGCTTCTCTGTGGGGTTGGAAGTGAGAAAGCTTTATCCCAAATTTTCTCTCTTTTTCTGAGTCCTTTATCTTGAAGCAAGAAGACTATCAAATATGATGTGGTATATGTTCAAAACAGTTTCTTTTTAAAGCTGTGGTGTTGTATGAAATGAAAACCCATTTATAAAGAAGGAAAATAGCCAATAAAAGTAGGATTCTTGACCAGAGTTTTGGTTTCAAACTATAAGAGTCTGTCTGATTCTTCTGGTAACAATGCAGTAGTTCATTGCTGAGTACTAAAAAGTAACACAAAACTTTGTAAAGGAATAGAAGTGGTGACAGTTTAAAATACTTTCTTGTGCTCATAGGAATGATAAACCATTATAAAACCATTTTGGTAGTTGAAACTGTAGTACATTTTAAAGACAGTCTGTAGCATACTACATTATCTTTCCTCTGGGAAAAAAAAGGAATCTCATGTTAGAGAATGTGGAACTGGTCTTTCAACTATTTGGCTTCTTCCCATTGCCTTTCCCTTCTTTCATTCATTATTTTAGTATGACTTACTTTGAATTTAACAGTTCCCAAGCTCCGTCTGCAGATTCTTTATACAACTTAACTGGAACATTTGGAGCTGGACTTCCTCGGACCGAATCCAGAACTTTTATGTAAAGAGGCTGCTTGGGGTCAGGAGGGTCCTTCAACAGGAAGAGAGAGTTTTTACTTTGCAAGAATGGTAAGCAGTGGCACATCATAAAGCAGCAAGGAGTATTATTCTTTAGATCTACAGTATAGACCATATTTTCCACAGCAGGATAGCTGTTGTGTATGTAGCCTGAATCTTTCTGGGGGCCAGATATGGTGAAGCCAGGGAGTAAGATGTCCAGAGCTGTTGGAAGGAGCACAGCCATGAACACCAGGGAGGCACTGTGGCTGTGAGACTCCATTTCTATTTCCTCTTTGGCATGGCTTAGCTACACATCATCTCTAGCATGAAGCTGGAACTAAATTGAGGCCTCAACAGGAAATAATTAAGCCATCAAAGGTAATAGGAATATTTAAAAATCTGGCAACTCTTCCTCTGTATTTTGGAGTGGCAATTTGAGCACAGCTCTCTGGATTTGAGAACCTCTGATATCTTGTTGCCATAGAGTTACCTTGATTCTGCTGTAAACCTGATAAGCACCACATATAGACTCTCTCCTAACAGCATGTTGGATCAGATTTGTCAGCCCTGGCAACTGCACAAGGATAGGAGAGGAAAACCTTCTTTTAAAGATGGGTTGGCTATAGTTTCACAGCCAATTTGTTCATCACGTGTAGTGATTATGCCCTAATGCTTTACCTATTCAAAGGTGGAGTTGAATCAAGGCTTTGACCTTCCATTACCTAATTCTGCAGATGAAAAGTGAGAAAACAGAGCTTTGTAGAAGGTGCTAATCAGGGATGATCTCAAAATAGCAGTCACTGATATCCATTTAATCATTGCAGAATGAAATGTTATGTAGACAGTTAAAAACTAAGAGCCCTCTTTTACATCCCCTCCTGCAGTCTGGGATGTACCGAACATCCCATCGGCCAGGAATCCTGCCCTGCTCCCTTTCTGGAATGCAGGGGCTCCTCACTGGTGTTTCTTGTGAGGCCTTGGCAAGGAAGGCTGCACTGCCACCGACAGTTTTCCTGACTTTTACATTCTGGGAGCTTGACAAAAGTATATTTCCTCAACAAGGTTGGTCAGGTATTAATTTTCCCAAAGATCCAAGCCTGAGAGGAAGAATGAGTAGTTGAGGGGAGAGAGAGAGAGAGAAGACTCTTGTAGGAGAATTTCAGGCAGAGGCATCTGTGTCCTTATCTTGATCTTCTGGAATAAGTTAGCCCTCTGGAAGAGAGATCCTGGCTTTGGCTCTGTCCTTTGCTTGCATCAATGAGTCTGGAGATCCGTTCTTGCATACATGGGATTGAGCTGTAGTGGGTAGAGCAGTAAGACAGAAAGCCTTTCTCCTGTATGGATCTCGCAATAGGAAACAAAATCCCTCATCACAGTTTGTTTGTTGTGATATAAAGGCTATACTTTTCAACAGGCTCAAGGATTTTGTGTAGTGAGTATGATAATTTTTCCTTTCTTATGTTGTTTCTCGTGGAGTTACTCAGTCTAATGACAAGTACGACTTCTCAAACCATAAAGTCCTCTCACTAATTACTAAAGAGAAAGAAAAAGAAGGGGCAGAAAAGAGCAGTAACAGAGAACACAGCTACTACCTACTGTAAAATCAAAATAATTGCAATAAAATAGATTCTCTTTTTTTTTTTTTTTTTTTTGCTTACACTACTTAATATATAATAAAAGAAAAAAAAAGCTGGAACTACATCAGTAGAAGGACCACAATGCTGAGACACTTACCGATGGTGCAGCTTCGGAACAAAATGCCAGGCCAGCTAAGAAAACAAGAAATACAGAATGAAGAGCCATTTTGCCTACCACTAGGAAGCCTCAGTGTCAGCAAGCAGAAACTGCTGGGATCTGTGATTTTTATATCAAGGCCTCTAAAATGAAGCTACTTATCAGAAAAACCATATGACTTTCAACATGCAGATTCATACTATTTACTTAGTAAACAATGAGAAAATAAGTAACTCATACAAACATGAACCTTGTCTGCAAAAATAAGTCTCTTCTACCCTTGTCTGTGGAAATATTGTGAATATTGCCTAGTTCAACAGCAGTGATCAATTTTCTTGTAAACAATGTCTATTCTGTTATATTTTTCTCTTTTAATTGAGGAATATTGCTGTATTGATCTCATATAGTTGAGAGAAATACAAATTTTGTGTCAATTCGGCAATTCGGCAATTTCAGTGAGAAATATTCTGTGGTTATGGCTTGGTTTAATTGAGTCACATGTTTATTTAAGAGTTTTCACTTTGTGGTGGCCTTCTCATAGCTAACAAAATGTAGGCAGATAATATGAGGGCAGTCTAGTTATCTTATAAATTCCACTGGAAGAAAAATATATTACTTTTGTTTACCATCACGATAACAGGATACCTACACACCCATTTCTGAAGCACAGTGTTCTAAGTCCTATCACTTTACTTGTCCCTTAGATTCAGTACAAGTTCAGGACTTTCCCTGTACAACTGCAAGTCAGATCCTACCAGAAGCATCTCCTTCATTTTAGGGAAATGTTACTTCTTGCAATTAAACATCTTTCAGATCTTTGGTTAGGCACCTGTATCTATATTCACTCTTACCAGGTTTATCCTGCCATCAGATGGACTACTGGCAGAGTATTTTTGTTTTGTGACGACTACACCTATATGAACATATTTAAGTTCTATTTTGAGGGCTTGGCATAGCCAACTACAAGTCAAATGTACTGATTTTCAAGCTCCGGGAACACCAAGATCTCATGAAATCTCCATGCTTTAAGATGGGTGCTGTTTTGAAACAATTTGCACTGTTTACCAGAGTTGTGTAACTATGGTCATATCCAGAAACCTGGGAAAAGTGTAACCCAATAGTGAAACGTTACAGGCAAGCTTTTGTAACTTGTGAATTCACTGGGTATGCAGTCATCCCGCAGGCTCTGGGTGTAGAGATAAACTCCAAGGTCGGTCGCAGCTGAATGTTGACAGTTTCTGAAAGGCATGATTTCGATAAATTTCTCTGTAATTTCTGTAATCCAATTAAAAAGAAATTCCTCTGCTTCAGGATATTTTAAATGCAATAGGCCATCAGTCTAAAGAAATCATTGCTAAAGCCCTCAAAGTCCTTGATCAGTTTATCAGCAACACTGCTTGAATCACAGTCACTCTACAGCTTACTTTTTTCTATTCTTAAAAATATGAGAATATTAAGATGATGCTTCTATTTTAGGACTACTTTATAATGATGGCCAGAGATTTGACTTATTAGGGCTTTAATTGAAATGCACCTGAGTAGGGTAGCCAGCTGGGTTATATCAAAGAATCACAGCAAAGTTGTTCAAAACGGTGCTAATTGAAAATACTTCAGAGCTTCCTAGATTGATTGAGAAGTAAACTTTCCTCTTGAAACATCAAAGTGTTGAGGTTTACTTGAGGTTTTGAGTAAGAGTACAAAGACTTTAACTCTTTCCACTCTCTGGACATATGTATTTCATCAGTTTCTGCATTGCTTGTTCTGCTGCTAGATATTCAGAATTTCACCTATTTCCCCTGCGACCTAGTGGGTAGTGGGAACATTTTTCTGTGTGTAAACTAAGGGTAGCACAGATGACTTTATTATTTTGAGTATATTTTCTTGGTAAAATATTTTAAGGTAGCACAACTCTATAAATTTCTTATGTTGGGCCAATGCATTTGGTGAGACTTTTTTAAGGTACTGGAGGAAGATAACAGAACTGAATCAAGTGCCATGCCATGTATGTTTTTCAGATGTCCTTTGCACTTCAATGCAACTCATGATACCTTAGAACACAAAACTTCACCAATAAAATCAACACTGTTTTAAAGAAGTAATGTTTTATTGACTTGTCTGAAGTTTGCCAGGTTACAAAATGGAAAAAAAACTAATGTTGCAAAAAGCTATGCGTTAGCAGTAGGAAAAACCTTCCTCCTGAAAGCCTACAATAGTTCTAATGGAGGAGAGTGTTTGTGTAAGGACAGTACATGTTTATTCCTGGGGATCAGTGACAACAGCAGTGGTGGAATATGAGAAAGGACTGAGGAGGGCAGCAATAGTATAGTGACGGTGACCAGAATCATTAGCAGTGAACACCACCTGGAAAAGAGAAATTGTGTGATCATGATGAACAACATACATTCAAAACTACCTTATCAAGAACAAAGAAGCACGCTCCATGTCATCTGCAGGGTACTTTGTCAGTTCTGTCCAATTATTTGACCCTTCTGAAGGGTAATGCTCTCCATTACTTTGTGGTGCTTGCTGAGGACTGAGAAATTTGTGAGATTTGGACTGAAGTCCACAAAGAGCCTCAGCTGCACTGCAGCTAGGTGGAGATTCCTGCCCCTAAGCAAGGCAAACTGCTTTGTGATGTGGAACGGGAGGATGAGGGGGAGGTATCTCAAATTACCAATACGAAAGACAGGGGTGAAATTCCACCTGGTGAATGTAAATACAACCTCTGTGTGAGGTTTCCAAGCAAGGTAGGCAGTTGGAGCCCAAAGCCATTTTCTGTACTTCAGTGCCCCCTCCTGTTTTAATCTCCACTTGTGATAGGCCAGTTCTTCCATTAAGAACTGAGTGGCTAGACTTGCCAGAACAAGGAGAGACCCTTACCCTAAGAAAATTCAAATTTGTTGCTCTCCAAATCAGCCTCTGGAACCTGAGACACCCAGTTCCCAGGAAGGTGTTGTTACCTGGGTTAAGCTCCAGCTTTCTTTGGCTTTCCTTAGCCTACTTTTTGATCTGTTTTCTAACAAGGACATACATTTTACTAGAAGACTGGAGAGTTCCCTCCTAACATCCCAGTCTTGCTGACAGATAAGCTACTGGGATGAGAGGACTGTAGGCTTCAGTTACCTTGTACACAGTCAGTCATTGAATTCTACCCACTTCCCAGGCTAATTTGTTGACCGGTAAATTATTGGGTCAAGGGAAAGCTTCTCCAACAGCCAAGCTGGAATAGTCATAACCAGGCACTTTTAAGCAACTTTTGATGTGAAGCCCTTACAACTTTCAGAGATACAAATGGTTAGGGAATATTTTTGAAGTTTGTTTATTTGGCCAAAGTCACCCAAACTGCATTTCAGACTTTTATAGACCTGGGTCTCCATAATTTAAGTCCTCCACAGAGCTTAATAAACTTGTGCTTTAAAATGTTCTACAACAAAATTCCACACTACTTAAATTGGTGAAACTTAAGGTTAATGACAGATTGAGCCTGAAGAGTTTATACAAATTTTTGGATGTTGTAGAATAGTGGGCACAATAAATCAGTGTAGAACTGAAAGCAAAGGGACATTATGAGGTTGCTGGTCTGCTTATGAAATTTTAGTGTTGCTGAAACAGACAACTTTTTCTTTTCCACTATGGTTATTTCTTTATATTTTTATGCCTTCTTTTAAAAAAATTGAATGTTTAGTACTGAACATAATTTTAAAAAGGCATAATGGAAAGAATTGGGGTTTTTTCCTGTAATTATAGCTCACACTAGAAATCAGGGGTTTTCAGGAGTCTGATATGGGGGAAATACCTCTGATTCAAGAGTAGCTTATACCCTGTAAAATTAGGGTTTTCAAATCCCTATATTCCTTCAGCAGCAATAAAAGTAGTCTTTTTCCCTTTTTACTTTTTATTTTGGGGGGGGGGGTTGTGTGTGTTTGATTTTTTCTTTTTTGTTTTTACCAGCAGTCTACTTTGGAATAATGTCGTTCTCTTAGAACAAAGATCCCTACTGGCAAGAATGGGTGAATGGGCAGAGCTCCTCTTTGAAAGAGCTGTGTCAGTATTTGCAGGGAAGTTGGCTTCTTCCTTTGGCTTAGCCTGTTTACTGCTTTTATTTGCCCTATGTTGTGTGGCAGTGAACCATACCACAGAATGATGCTGCTTCTCCAGTATTAAAGAACCGTATTAGTTCTTTCCAGCTGATGCCGCTACAAAAGGCATTGTATACAGATAGTTAAGTATATTTGCAACTACTTACATCAGCGTATTCATGGAATGGAGAAAGCCCAAGCCCCTTCCAGTAAGAGCTGGTGTCAAACTTAACCCTGTATATTCCTTCTACAAACTGTTCCTCTGTTGTGAGCCCGTGGATCTCTCCGTACTCTGTGGTTTTCCTGTAATGATAAAATAGCTACATAAATATTTTATACTGTCATTCAGATGCTAAACAGAACCAGCCAATGTGGAATATTGAATAGCAGAGATGCCAAACTCTATATTGAGTAGTTTCTAATCATCTGGCATAATTCCATCCTTCCATGCAGTGTGTGTTTCCATGTTGCAGAGCCTGTTCTTGCTAACAACTCACCCATATACATCACAAATCAAAACTGTTTTGCCCTTTTCTTGTCATTTCTGTTGCAAAGGCAGGGATTATAGTTAAAGTCTCTCTTTTAATGTGATGTTTGGCTTGTACCTGGTACACTCTGGAACCAAATGTTAGTGGCTTAGGAAAAGGATTGTAGTGATGAAAGGCAAGATGCCAAATCTTAAAATATAATTAAGGAGAGAAGAGATATTTTAATGGAAAATTATTTCATTCTCTAGTTATTAGCACCGAGGCTATAGGTTTTTTAACCTATACACTGATGTGATTTTATGTGACCTGACCCTGAGCAGTAATATCTTGGAAAAGCAATTTAGCATCATGAGATTTTATTAATTTGAATTACAAAGCCTTGGTCAAAGAGCAGAGGCCTCTTCTACTGGGCACCATGTAAATGAGCAATAGGAATTCCCATTTCAGAGTAACATCTTAACTTGTAACAAAAAAAGTGGGTGAAGGAAGTTCAGAAGCAAGA